GAGGGCCAGCCATGAGAACCATCAGAAAAAAGTGGGCATACCAGGTTGCATTCTACATCTAGCAGCCTGTGGTCACAGCAGCAAGATGTCTGGCTTTCCCTAACTTCAACCTTCAAACCGTTTGTTCATCCCATTTAATTTTTAATTTTTATTTATTTATTTATTTTTGAGACAGAGTCTTGCTTGCTCTGTTGCCCAGGCTGGAGTATATTGGCGCGATCTCAGCTTAGTGCAACCTTTATCTCCTGGGTTCAAGCGATTCTCCTGCCTCAGTCTCTTGAGTAGCTGGGATTACAGGCGCGTGCCACCACACCTGGCTAATTTTTGTAGTTTTAGTAGAATTGGAGTTTTGCCGTGTTGGCCAGGCTGGTCTCAAACTCCTGACCTCAGGTGATCCACCCGCTTTGGCCTCCCAAAGTGCTAGGATTACAGGCATGAGCCATTGTGCCCGGCCCATCCCATTTAGTGTCAGTTTATTTTAATCAGTATTTGATACTTAGATACTGACATGTTCAAATTCTATCTGTAAAAAATGTTTTTTAGATAACTTCCTAAATTATTTGTTTCTGTTAGAACATTTGTACAGAATGATTTTAAACAGAGGAAACTTGTGTATAGATGCCCTTTAATATCATGAAATATTTTCTTAAAAACCTTTATGATGTGAGTTTTTAATGCATTGAAACAAATTGTTCCCAAAAAACCCAAATCAACAGTCTTTAAAATACTGAATTTTAGATAATGGAAAGAAGTGAAATGCTGAGGAGGCAGAGAAAAAAACTTTGAGAAATTACCTGATCATGGTAAAAATATCCCGACAGGACCAGTGATTAGACAGGCAGAACTTTTGGGAGAGCCCCGCCCCTTCTGTGGCAAATCCTGTCTCCAGTTTCCTGCACATCCTGCTCTGTGTTCAAAGGTTTCCCTGTGAGAGATTAGCTCACAGTTGCTGACACCTCACAATCTCCCTCACAATCTGCAGGAAGTTACTTTGAGTTGTCAGAGGGTCATTCAGCTCATAGCTACTTTTGATAAACCATCCTAAAAATGTTCTTTATTGACTTGTAGATTTGTAAAAATTGTATCTGTTTAGGAGGGTGAACCTTCTGGAAAGAGAAAAGCAGAAGATGATGATAAAGCAAATAAAAAGCATAAGAAGTACGTGATCAGTGATGAAGAAGAAGAAGAAGATGATTGAAGTATGAAATATGAAAACATTTTATATATTTTATTGTACAGTTATAAATATGTAAACATGAGTTATTTTGATTGAAATGAATCGATTTGCTTTTGTGTAATTTTAATTGTAATAAAACAATTTAAAAGCAAGTCTCTGTTCAAGAAATCTACTTTTCCGGCCAGGTGTGGTGGCTCATGCTTGTAATCCCAGCACTTTGGAAGGCCGAGGAGGGTGGATCACAAGGTCATGGTGGCATGCGCCTGTAGTCCCAGCTACTCGGGAGTCTGAGGCAGGGGAATCGCTCGAACCCGGGAGGCAGAGGTTGCAGTTAGCCGAGATCGTGCCACTGCACTCCAGCCTGGCGATAGAGCAACACTGTATCTCAAAAAAATAAAAGAAAAAAGAAAAAAAAAGAATCTACTTTTCCTAAAGCAAACTGATTGTTAATGCTTTACACAAAGTCTTAGGTCTCAGTGAATTCCTGCTGCTCTCTCAACCCCCTTACCTCTCATTCCCCACAAAGAAGCCTTCTGGCCAGGCTGAGATTCTCTCACAATTCTGGAGACTTGGAGTCTAAAATCAAGCTGTGGGAGGGCCATGCTGCCTCTGAAGATTCTTGGCAGGGATCCTTCCTTGCCTCTCAGTTTCTGGTAGTTCCTGGCAATCTGTGGCTTTTGACAGTATGACTTCCGTCTCTGCCTCTGTCTTCACATGACCTTCCTCCTGTCTCTGTTCCGGGTCTCAGTATCTCCAGATCTCCCTCTGTTCATAAGGACATCATTCATTGGATTTAGGGCCAACTCTAATCTAGTGTGATATCATCTTAACGAACTACATGTGCAAAATTCTCTATTTCCAAATAAGGTCACATTCTGAAGTTGTGGGTAGACATGGATTCAGTGGGGTGTGGGGGGTGGGTCACTATTCAATCCACAATGATAACCATGATAAATATTGTTGTAATGTAATTTTTAAAATTGTATTCAAAATTAATGTCAAAAAAATCCATGATGAACAAAATGTCAAAATTTTAAATGAAGACGGGATCTGGGCTGGGCACGGTGGCTATCCTGTAATCCTAGCACTTTGGGATGCCGAGGTAGGCATCACTTGAGGTCAGGACATCGAGACCATCCTGGCTAACACGGTGAAACCCCGTCTCTACTAAAAATACAAAATTAGCCGGGCATGGTGGCACATGGCTGTAATCCTAGCTACTCGGGAGACTGACGCAGGAGAATTGTTTGAACCCAGGAGGCAGGGGTTGCAGTGAGCCGAGATCCTGCCAGTGCACTCCAGCCTGGGTGACAAGAGTGAGACTCTGTCTTAAAAAACAAAAAATACAAAGGGAGGGGAATTTGATTCCTCTTGATTGGAAGAATGGCAAAGAATCTGCAGGTATGTTTGAAATCCACCACACACATATTTGCCTTCTCTGTGGAGCTCTTCTGCATACACTAATCTTGTCCTTACTGATAGCCTCTACTTTGACTCATCTTTCTTCCTGGTGCTATTAGTCCAAACTGGGAGTGGCAGTTGTGGGAGGCTTACCCTGAAGCCTGGTTATAGATAAAGAAAAGTGACATCGAGAGGGGAGGCCTAAGTCATCATCATGTCACTTTCCTAACTCAGAAATCTTCAGTGCCAGCTATTTCCTGGCTTATCAAATGGAAACCCCTCTACCTGGTTTTTAAGAGCCTTCATTCTGACTCCACTCTCTCCAAGGCAACACAATTTTGTGTGTTTGTTTTAAACATGGTACCAGTAGACACCTGTGTCAGTTGTTAAGCTCTTGTCTCTTCTCCAAACCTACTCTTCTGTACCTGGCACGGAGGTGCTGGGGCCAGGAGTCCACAAACCAGAGTTGAGCTTCGCCAGCTGCCCCCTGTTAGGGGGCGCCAAAGGAAGACTGGAAGCCTGGAGAACTGAGAAGGGATTGCTCCTTCCTGTTTGCTTATGGAACTTTCTGGGGGCTTCCTGTTGACTTGCATTTTCTGAGAGGACCCACCAACACTTCTTCACCTGAGCAGAGGCAGAGCCTTTCTGCAGCTGCAGAGTCCAGTTTGCAGTTTTGCCAGCACTTGCAGAGCCAGCTTCATTTTCCCCCCTGAGAGACATCAGGACCAGCTGGGCAGCAGCTTTTCCTCAGGTCTGAGTTAAGCTCCAGGGGGCCCTTTATGTAAGTGTTTTAAGTTTTTATAATCCCCCCTTTTCCCTATCAGCCCCACAGGTGGAAGCTGTTCTTTGCATCTGCTACCTCTGTAAACCCTCAGAGTTCCTCTTTTTATACTTTCAGTAACCTAGTCCACAACTTTAAACCCAATTGCAACTTTAAAATATTAAATTATGTCTGTACAGCTGTACAGACAACTGGTGTGTTTTCTGTTCCCTGACTAGAACCTGACTAGGTGATCAAGGCAACAAATCCTCAAAGATGGAGTTTAGGGGTTGGTTTGGGTTTGAGTGCAGTTCTGAGCTCCCCACCAATGAGCAGGGGGATGCTGGTAGCCCATGGTGTCCATTGGTATCATGATGAGTCAGATTATCTCCTTTACTAGAGTAGACTACAAACTGGGGAAAGGAAATACCCAGAGTTGGAGGACTACTAGATACTGGCTCAGTTGATGCTCACTCCTAGAACCTCAAATACTCCACTAAATACCAAGTGGAGACTGACAGTGGTCAGGTGATAGATGGAGTTTTAGCCCAAGTTCAACTCACAGTATGCCCTCCAGATTTACTGACCCACCTTGTGGTTTCCCCAGTTCTTAAATATATGATTGGAATAGGTATATTTTGTCAACTGAGAAATTCCCCACATTGTCTTCTGATCCATGAAGCACCATTAAAAAGTAGAAAGGACCAAGTGGAAGCCCCTGGAACTTATTTTTCTCACCAGGATAATAAACCAAAAACAACACTGCATGCTTGGGGGAATTGCAAAGATGAATGATACCATCAAAGACTTGAAAGAAACAGAGGTGATGATACCTCTTACATCCCCCATTTATTTATTCATTAATTTATATTATTTATTTATGAGACAGAGTCTCGCTCTTTATGTATTTGTTTTTGAGACAGAGTCTCGCTGCATCACCCAGGCTGGAGTGCAGTGGTGCGATCTCAGCCCACTGCAACCTCCGCCTCCCAGGTTTAAGTGATTCTCCTGGCTCAGCTTCCCGAATAGCTGGGATTACAGACAGATGCCACCAAGCCTGGCTAGTTTTTTTATATTTTTAGTAGAGATAGGGTTTCACCATGTCGGTCAAGCTGCTCTAGAACTCCTGACCTCAGGTGATTTGCCTGCCTCGGCCTCCCAAAGTGCTGGGATTACAGGCATGAGTCACTGCACCTGGCCACATCCCTCATTTAGCTCACCTGTATGGCCTATTGGCAGATTGATCTTGGAAATGACTGGTTATCTTCTACCGAATCAAATAATGACTATATTAGCAGCTGCTATTTCATATATATTTCTTTGAGACAGTCTCATTCTGTCACCCAGGCTGGGTCACAAGGAAAGTGAGAAATACATTATTAAGCAGAGGAGGACATGTATCCTTCAAAAGCTGTAGGCAGGGCCAGGTGTGGTGGCTCACACCTATAATCTGAGCACTTTGGAAGGCCAAGGTGGGTGGATCGCCTGAGGTCAGGAGTTCAAGACCAGCCTGGGCAAATGCTTTTTTCCCCTTCATATTAATATGTAAGGACAAACAGAAACAGTTCGCTTTTACTTTTTAGACCAATGGTACCCCTTACTAGACCAATGAAACCCTTTGGTCTGAGGCAACAATCTTGCCTCACAGCTACATGGACTTACCTATATACTTTGCCATATGGAGTCTGCAAAACTCCTGACCATCTTGATGTTCCACATGTCACACTGGTCCACTGCAGCGATGACATTATGCTGATGGTATCTGATCTGATGAGTAGGAAATAACTGTACTTTAGATGCCTTAGTAATCAGCTCTCAGCATGTAAACCAGAGAGTGGGAGATAATCCCCATCAAAATTTAGGGGCATGCCACCTCAGTGAAGTTTCTGGGGGACTAATGGTCTGGAGCATGTCTGGATAGCCCCTCCAAAAATGAAGGATATGGTGCTGTACCTTAAACCACCTACCAGTGCAAAATAATGCTTGGTGGATCTTTCTGGATTTAGGAGCCAATGTACACTTTATTTCATTGTGCACTTTGACCTTTTGCCAAGTAAGGCAGAGATGCTACCTGTTTTAAGTGAGGACCAGAATAAGAGACTGTTTTGCAGTAATTCCAGGTTACAGGGCAAACTGCTCTTCCACTTTGGCCTAATAACCCAGCATATCTGATAATGCTTAGTGTGTCTGTGGCAAATATCACTGCTGTCTGAACCCTGTGGTTAGAATCAGCAAGAGAACTGAGTACAGGTCTCTAGGGATTTGAAACATATCCATGTCCTCTTCTGTAGACAGTCGTTTTTTTTGTTTTTGTTTTTTTTTTTTTTTGGAGACAGAGTCTTGATCTCCTGACCTCATGATCCGCCTGTCTCGGCCTCCCAAAGTGCTGGGATTACAGACGTGAGGCACCACACCCGGCCTAGACAGTCCCTTTTAACACTTAATCATGGAACATCAAGTAACCACACAGGCTGAGCTTCTCAGAATGAACTGGGCATTTTCTGTCCCAGGAAGCTGTAAGATTGGGCATATGTATGGCAGTCTTTTACCAATCTATCATCTGGGCTCAATGAGGTCTAGAAGGCATGAGAAGGTTTCTTGTATAGGTGGCTCAGGCTCCCTTAATACAGACTTGCTGAATTGTCTCTTCTGTCCCTTTCTCCAAAAGCAAAAAGCCTGGTTTCAAATATCCTCAATTTATTTACTCATTTGTTCAGTCCCCAGTATGCAAATAATAAAATGACTATGGCTGTCTGCTCAGCTCTGGGCCATACACAGTGGCCATGCAGGCCAAGTTCCCATTTAATTTATAGCTCAGAAAGCTCTACTCATATTGAGAATTAAAAAGATTCCAGTACCCAGAGTTTAAGAAAGGGGCAGCAACTGCAAATATCTTAAAGAAAACACCCAAGAAACTCCAACTGAATGAAATACTATGTGCTCATGTGTACTTTGCCAAATGATTTAAGATTTGACACAAATTAGGCTGGGTATGGTGGCTCACACCTGTAATCCCAGCACTTTGGGAGGCTGAGGAAGGTGGATTACTTGAGGCCAGCAGTTCAGGACCAGCCTGGCCAACATGGTAAAATACTGTCTCTACTAAAAATACAAAAATTAGCTGGGTGTGGTGGCGCACGCTGGTAATCCCAGCTGCTCTGGAGGCTGAGGCAGGAGAATCGCTTGAACCCAGGAGGCGGAGCTTGCAGTGAGCCGAGATCGTACCACTGTACTCCAGCCTGGGCGACTGAGCGAGACTCCGTCTCAAAAAAGAAAAAAAAAAAAAACCTGAAAACAAATCACTCTCAAATTCAGCACTTAACAACAACAAGCATTTACTATTATCATGCTGATTCTGAGGATTAGGAATTCAGGAATGGCTTACCTTTCACCCACCAACTCTGCCTCCTTCTTTCTCCAAAGACACTCTAGTTAGTTAAGCTTCTGAGAACCTGGCTTAGGGAGCCAGTTTGAGGTTGGTTTAATGGAGATTTGTTTTATGAAGCTTGGGACTATGTTGAAGTGGTGGACCAAGAACTGTGTATAAGAACTTTAGTTGGAAAAATTAATACTGTGCATTTTCCCCCAACACCAAAGATCCTAGTGGGACCATGGATCTGTTTGGAGATATAGACGACATTTCTTCTGAGAGTGATGAGGGCAATCAACCACCTACTCTACGACAGCTGTTTGTAAGTACAATCACCAATATCAACCAATCCCATTATTCAAAGCTAAAAAAAGAAAGTTTCAGAGGCTGATGGGTCTGTCTCATGTTGAGAGAGGATGTGGATAGCCAAACATCTGATGAATAGGTGACTTTCTTAGCTATATTGGGAATTTCTGGATATAAGAAGGCACAGAAGGAACTACTCAGAATAAAGCTGATGCCAAACTTTAGGGGCTAGACTAATATAAAACAATATAAAAATATAATATATAACATAAAAACCTTTGATTTAAAGGTTTTTCTTATTCAAGCCTATGACAAGAAGCATGAGCGATGCTGATATTCTCTGATTTTAATAGTTGTCTAGTATTGATGGGGTGAATAATTTCATACTTCTGTTGCTGAATATGTTATGCAAAATACGTCAATAAAATAGATACTTTTTTCTACTAATGTTGGCTAACGGATCCTGTTTTCCTGTGTTTTTTTTCTGTTTTGTTTTGTCTTGCTTTTTTTTTTTTTTTTTGAGACGAAGTTTCAAAGATTACAGGCATGAGCCACCACGCCCAGCCTGTTTTGCTTTTTGTAGGCATGAGGTGAGGTTTTAGGGAGAAGCTTGGAAGAATTGCTGACTGTTTTGTCCCTAAAGTGGAGTGTAAATTTACTTCCCAGCCAGGCGCGCTAGCTCACGCCTATAATCCCAGCACTTTGGGAGGCCAAGGTGGGCCGATCACCTGAGGTCAGGAGTTTGAGACCAGTCTGACCAACATGGTGAAACCCTGTCTCTACTAAAAACACAAAAATTAGCCAGGCATGGTGGTGCAGGCCTGTAATTCCAGCTACTCAGGAGGCTGAGGCAGGAGAATCGTTTGAACCAGGGAGGTGGAGGTTGCAGTGAGCCGAGATCACACCACTGCTCTCCAGCCTAGGTGACAGAGTGAAGACTCTATAAAAAACAAACAAACAAACAAACATTACTTCCTGTCAAACCTGCATCTGCCTAGTGCAGGACGAGCAAAGCTAGCACATTTCTAAGGTCTCCAAGCTCTCACATTCTGATTCCTTTCTTAGGATGAACATGGAGTGCCTCAGGACCAGCAGGAGGAAGAGCCAATTTCTGAAACCATAATAGAAGAAGAAATTCCCAGTATCAACTCCGATTTAGGAAATGAATTGTATTTTGTTAAATTACCCAAGTTTCTCAGTATAGAACCCAAGTAAGAGGACTGATTAAAATTTTCAAGATATTAAAAATATGTGTAGAATAAATATTTTTTTTATTTATCATGAGTTTGCTAATCACAAAGATGGGAGATTTCTCATATAACTTTGAAAAAAATAAATCTAGGATGTGCTGTGGTAGAAAAATGAATCACTATTGAGAGAGAATTTTAATGCTAATAATTTTTCTAGCATTTTGGCACTTTCTTTTACATAAACAGATCACAATGGATGAAGGTGTTTCTCCCTAGTATAAAGCTGACAAATCAGAAAGTAAGAGTGACAAAGTCTGCTAGAGAAATCACAAATGTTGTGGCCGGGTATGGCAGCTCATGCCTGTAATCCCACCACTTTGGGAGGCCGAGGCGGGCAGATCACTTGAGGTCAGAAGTTTGAGACCAGCCTGGGCAAAATGGTGAAACCCCGTCTCTACTAAAAATACGAAAATTAGCCGGGCGTGGTGGCACACGCCTATAATCCCAGCTACTTGGGAGGCTGAGGCGTGAGAATCTCTTAAATCCAGGAGATGGAGGTTGCAATGAGCCGAGATTGTGCCACTGCACTCCAGCCTGGGTAACAGAGTAAGACTCTGCCTAAAAAAAAAAAAAAAAAAAAAAAAATCACAAATGTTCAATGCAAAAGCCATTGTGAATCTAGAAAAGACAATTATTTTGTACTACAAAATAGTGTCAGTGGGTGTGATTCACTAAGGTACATGCATGCAAGCTCTTGTGCTTAACACATTTTCTTTAAAAAATATGGGAAGACCATGTGTTACCTATACTTTGGAAGACATATTTCATCAAATAACATTTTGAATTGTTAGTTGCATTTGAATTTTATTTCAGGCAATATGTTTTAGAAACAAATTTCAAGAAAGCATGGTACTTTGCATACTTCTTTGAAGGTTTACATGAAGTTATTTGTGTACTGTGATTTTTGGTAACACATGGGGACACCTTGTAGGGATGATTAAATATAATATTAATCATATTCCTTACTAAATATGGCTAACATGATGTTAAAAACACAATTTGTAGGCCTTTTGATCCTCAGTTTTATGAAGATGAATTTGAAGATGAGAAAGTGCTTGACGAGGAAGATAGAATCAGGTTAAAATTAAAGGTACCATCCCACACTTTATTCCTTTTAAGTTTTTCCTTTTATAAAGTAAAGCAGGGATGACAACGTGAGACTTGAGTTTGGGAAATCCTCTTATGTTTCTTGTTCAATAGCTCTTTAGACCTAGGAATTAAAACACTTTTTCAGAATATTTTTACTGGAGGAGGTATGTGCCCTTTTTCATACCTGTAGAATTGTCACTTTCTTCTTTTGGTTGCAGTTATGCTTTTTTTGACATAAGTAAAGATAAACAGTTTTGAAAATTGTTAGCTACTTCCTTCAGGATAAATAATAATAAGGCATATGGAATTGACTCCACATTTTACAGTGGGTAGATCCTGGTGATTTCCCACAATAGAAATGTCTCAACTCTTCATGGATATTCAAACTATGCACAAAAGAGAACTTGTCATTAGGTGGTTCCTCTCTTGAAGGCCGGGGACAGCAAAGCACTACCAACTGCTTTCACAGGCATGTTGTTCTTCCTTAAGGGAGTTTCCTTTAAAACAATTTTTTTTTAACTTAAAACTTTGTGTGGGTTTTTTTTTTTTTTTTTTTTTTTTTTGGAGACAGAGTCTTGATCTCC